TCAAAGCAGCAAATCAGAACAGGCACAAGGCATGCTTAACAAAGTACCTTTAGAAATAAGGTCACAATAGAAAGCAAAAAAGCATTTTACTTATTTTTCATAACTTAATAGATTCTTATTGTTCTCTATCGCATCCATCAGGAAATCAAGTCACTAAAATCTCAGTGAGCATTCAGATGTCATCACGTCCCTACAGCGAGTTAATAAACATTACAACAATCAGCATTCTCAGAGATCTGTGCTACCATCTCCCTAACAAAAGTTAAGCTATGAATGCACATAAATAAAATACTTATATTGCCTTTGCTTTTCACTAATAAGGAGGAAACCAACCATCTAAAACCTCTGACTGCAGCAAAGACTTGCAAATCGCTTTCAGCTTCTTATCAATGTATCAGTCCCAAGAGAGAAGTTACAGAAATTATTCATTTATTTTAGAGTGACCAGTAACCATTTTAACACCCTTTGCTCCAATTTCTGCAAGAGATGAACTGAACAGTACAAGTTTAAAAGTAAAACATCAGTACAGAGAAACTGCTGCTACCAAAAAAAAAAGTCCCTTAGCTACTTGTCTAGCATCAAATACCTTATCAGCTGCAATAGGAAGTACAACAGAATTCTTCAAAAGATATCAATAAATTTTACATATATAATATATACATAAATATATATGTGATAATTGCTTTTTTCCAAAGCAATTATTCCAAGTTTCTGCTATTAAAATGGAGATTACATTTATGTAAAATTTCCACATGAAACCAGACATCAAATTAAATAAAGTATTTCTTTGACAGCGTGCCTGAAAAACTACTACAACTGTGTAGCACACCTAATGTTTAAAGTGTTAGCAAGGCACCAGTTACATCACATCCTTGGGAAAAAGGCCAAGCAGGTAGATCCTGCGGGGTGAAAGTATCAAATAAAGCAGCACTACACAACATGCCAAATTGCAGGGCTACGCAGGAGGGAACGAAGCGCTAACATCGCCACTGTGCAGCGTGGACGGCAGCATCAGCGGACGACTGTGACGGACACCTGGGAAGCAGCTCCCGTTGTTCATATGGGTTTGTATGCAAGTTGGCTTGGCAGGAATTCCCTCATCTTTGTCTGCCAGCTCCTAAGCTGTGGATTCTGCCACCAACTCCAAGCCCCGGGACATCAGGGAAGGTGAATTAAACTTTCACTTAAGCTTTCTTACACATACCTATCTCAATGACACAAACCATTTTTCCTTCTTCTTTGTGAGAATAAAAATAAGACAACTAAAACAGAAGGCAAACCAGTTGGCCCCATCATTAACTTTGCAGCAACAAGCCTTTAAACAGGGTTGCTTGGGCACTTCACAAAACTGTCACCGCCAAAGGATGTCGTGAAACAGCAGCAAGAAAACCTCTCCCAGGCAGTGATGACTGGAAGGTAAAGCAGTTAGAGGAAAGCCATGAAAGTTGACTTTGCCATGGCGGAAGTAGGGAAGACACATCTGAGACAGGAAGCCTTGCAGGTACGTGGTACCTTTTTCCATTTCACTATTTGGAGAGGGGATGGGGGAAGATGATAAAAATTCATGCAGTATTAAAAGTTTCCACATTTGTGCTTTAAAGTTTCCAAATCCAGCAGGTTTCTGGATCACTTTTTTTTTTTTTTTTTTAATCACCAAATCTAGTTTATAATTTATACATTTAGTAACAAAATTACTCATATTTGTTATGCTTCCAGAATATTGAAAATAACAGTTAACACTACCCTCAGTCACACCATCTTTTTAAAGTGCTAGCATCATATACTTGAAATTAAAACAAGCGAAACAAACAAAAAATAAAACTACTTCAGGCAAATTAAATTGATGTATTTTTTTTCCCAAATCTGTGTATAAGAAATTAAGTTATTTGCATTTTCTCTGGTTTTCCTGGATGAACCATTCACTATCTTGTCTTGCAAAAATTAATCAATTCTTCAGTTAAAAAGACAGGTAGAAGTAATAACTTGTAGAAGTATTCCAACATCCAGTCTATGGCCCAACAGTAATTTCTGCTATTAAAATATATCTATCCATGACAAAACATAACTTCATAAAAAAAGGACTATGAATATTTTTTCCCCTGCCAGAAAACACTAAAAAACAGTATCCCATGGTTGCCAGAAAAACTGCTGACCACAAACGCAAAGAAGATATAAAACTCGAGAGACATGACAGAGCACTCCCATATTTTCCCCCTGCATCTTTGTTGGCAGTGCCTGCTTTTTCTCAGTGCCTGCTCGCTGCCAGCTTATCTGACTGGGGGATGCAGAAGGAAACTTGGCCCTCTCTCCATGTGTGCCACTTCAATAAACCCTATATTCTCCTCCACCACGTATCTGTCAGATTAAGGAAAATTGATTAAAAGTAAACTTAAAAAAAAAATCACTAATACAGTGAAGGAATGCCTGCAGAGGAATTCCAGAACATTTTTGCAGAGAAGAATTAAAGCATCTCTTCAGCATTTAAACTGGATAATACATTTGACCTGGTAGCTTCAAGTATTATAACTGTATTATATTTAATGACTATTTGTACTGGCAAAAACTGTCACTTCATGTTAGTAAGAGTATTAATTATTCATTTTCCCAAAGTGTTAATGTATAGATAAAACCACCCCTTATGCAAAGCTGAAATAGCATTTAATGAACCTCCTTTATTCAAGCCACACGTTTTCCTAAAGATGAAAAATGCCACAAAATGTATTTTCCTGCAAGTGAATAAACCTATTAATATGAATTTCTACACAGCTTATTTCTACTCCGCAAAGTTTGCTCTTTAGGAGGGGGAAAGGAGAGAGCGAGGGGAGCACCCGCTCCCTTCAGGGATGCAAACACCAATCACCCCGGAAAGGACCTGAACCTGATTTGTTAGCGCTTTGGTTTCAAGGCTCTTCTTGGTATATAGGCATGATTGCTTGTGAAAAATATATATATATGTTTATAACTCAGATGTAATCTGTTTACTGTATCCTTTCCTTAATTTGATAGGACACTTAATAGAAAAAATAATCCAAGCAGGGAATAAATCTGAAAACACCCCATCAAGGATCACAGCTAGTTTGACGTCGTTTGCCTCTTAAGAATCCAGCTCCCTAAAGCGGATCATGTTAGGAATTAAATCTACCATGCGCGCAACCAAAACTCATTAATTTCCAATCATATTTTTAATGGAGGTTCCCTTTCTTAAAAGCAATACACAAGTGCCAATAAAATTACCATTTATATGTTCAAAAAGCTGATCTGCAGCCTCAGTCAGTATCTAAAGCTCCACTCTGTGTGCTACTGGAATATTAAGAACGCAAGGCCTTCCACTCCCTTCTGTTCAGGAAAAAACATATCTGAACAGTGTTTTGCTAGAGGATATACTTGCAAAGGACAAAAAAAAAGAGGTTTATCTTCATGCTGCACTTCATCTCTAAAGTCATTGCTACAATAAGTTATTGCATGCATCCTCAGATAAACAATTTTCTTCCACTCCAGCAACTAGCTAGATTTGGAAACTGAATAATTAAAAACATTGTTTAGCTTTACAAGTATTACTTTACGTAAACACTAACATTTTCTCTACGTAAGAGCATGTTAAGCAAGTTCACCTTTCAACTGTGTTTTTTAGCATTGCCTGTTACTTCTACCCTTCCCTGCCTCCCTTCTCATTCCCTCCTGCACAACTGGACTGTCACTGTTCTTTTAAAACAGGAAAAAAAAAAAAAAAAAAAAAGAAAAAAAAAAAAAAGCAACAACTCCATCACACAAATATTTCCCATGCTTTCCATGATGAATTAAAAGCAGAAACTATAATCCATTCAACCACAACAGCTTGTTTCAGTAAAGAGAGATTTTTGATCACTGCTGAGATGAGGTTCAAGCCCTTAGTCTGCACATAACTTTTGGTTTCCTGCTTTCCAAATAACCCTTCTAAACAGCAGCAGCATACTGCCCCTTTCAGAAAGGCAGATAATCTTGCTGTCTCCCTGCAATGGACCTGAAGCTCCTTGGGAAAAAGACAACAACAAAATTCTTTAAAAATGTTTTAAAACCATCAAATTCGTAAAGAGGATAGGGAGGGCATCCTGGCTATGCAAGCTGCATCTGTCAACATGAACTCCATCCTCTCTCCCCAAATTGTTTAGCAGACATAGAGAGGAGTTTGTGAATTGCAAGACTGTGTGTAACGCTCAGAACATGGATCAAGAAGATCACATGCTAAAAATAACAGTTACCATATTTTCAATATCTTTTTAAAAGACATTGTGTTACATGAAACTCTGCCATCACCACTTAACACACTTTAGAAATCCTCTCTTACAAAAAAAGGTGTTTTTCTTGAAGATGAAAAAAAGCCCAAGCTGTAACTAGACAGTCAGGAGAAAGGCATAAGAGATTCCAGTATGCACCACAATTTCCTCAAGAGGACAGCAACAGTTAACTGAGATCCTGTGCTTTAAAAAACAATCATCCTTCCTACCAGAAGCTGGCTATACATCCAAAGTATACACGTGTGGCAGAAGAACCTGCTTAAAAAGCAAGAATGCTCAGCAGAAACCGCAAATAAACGATTTAAGCATAGCCTAATTTTTATTTAGGCTACAAGACATCGTTTAGAACAATAAACCATAAAATTTTCTTCTTCTTTCAGTGAGTATGATTCTTTGAAGGCATATGAAGGGCCCCCCAACATAAACACCTCCCCACTGTGGAAGTGGCGGCACATACAGCTCGTGGGGAACACCAATGGCGCTCCTCACTCAGGAAAGCAAAATAGGGATTAGCATCATTAAAGAATATTAAAAGAATAGTCTGTAATAAATAAATAGTAGATTGCAATAACAATTTAGATACAGAAGGACATCTTGAGAAGCTCACCTTAACAATCCTTCCCTCTTCCCCTCCAAAGTCTAGATCAAATGCAACAAATAAATAACCCCCAAAAAGATTTGGTAGAGTGCCATCAAATGGAAAAATTCTTACGGAAAAATTCTTACCTTGAAGCATCAAAGCTGTCATAGGATCCCACTGTGTAGTGTCTAAACAGTTTCTTTGTTCTATCTGTTCGTGTTTCTGCACAAAGGAAAGGGATCTTTTAATAACACTTCATTTAGGATGACTAAATCAAGTGCTGCTTTTTTTTTTTTTTTTCCCCTCCCCTCAATTCCAAATCAGATTTTCTGCTATACATCAGTAAAGGTCAATTTTCAGTACTTAAAACGAATTCACATGTTCTCAAGTGGTTTTGATGAAAGTTTTGATTTTGCAATCGAGATATTCCCACATATAGCACACGAGTGAGAAAGGAGAATTTCTTGTAGATGATGTATTAAATCCTTTACAAGTTCTAAAATCCCATCCTTATTCTCAGTGGCAAAACCTTTCAAGTCCAATCTCAACTGGCTATTTTCTAGCTTGGATTAAGAAACAAAATAAGGGAAGAAAGAAGTAAAAACAGCAACTCTTTTCAGAAAGGTTAGCCAAAAGAATGCAAAATGACATTTTTTGTTTTGGTACACATACACAAAACTAAAACTAAATAAAAAATAAAGCCCACTTTTGAGAATTATATATGCCCAAAGAAATAAGATTTAAAACATATTATAAAAATGCATTGATAACTTCAAATACACTCAGAACTGATATGTATGCATTTTCTTAAGGAGGAAACCATCCCAAAGAAGGAACCCACACACACACTGGTTGCAGCATCGATTTATAGGGCCATAACCTTTAGGTTAAAAAACAAAAACAAAACAAAAACAAAACAAAACAAAACAAAAAAAAACTAATTTCATGATCAGATTTACTGAGATTAATGCTGAGTTAGTACGGATATAAGTTGAAGCACTTCGTTTAGAGCCATAGCTGGAGAATGTTAGACAATGCTAAACATATCTCTTAGATCAGCAAGAAGCTCTCAGAAAATGGATATCTATAAAAGTATTGAGCATGCAGAAAAGATACAGAAAGTAACCCAGTATTTGGCTGCTTCAGTTTTCACAGCAGAGCACAATCTACACTTAAAGACTACCACAAAAGTGTTACACTACTGGAGGAGAAGGAAAAAAATGTACAGTGAGTAGATAATTTATTGTTACATTCTTCTTCAGAATAATGCAAGTTACACAAGCTTACGCCACAGAAGAATCAAATAAAGTAAAAATTTAACAACAAAAAAAAGCAGGGGGAGAGGAGTGAAAAAACTTCTTGGGCAATTTTATATACTACAATAATTATTATTAAAAAGTATCAGTTTTATGAGGCTCACCCAACTTGATTTTTACTAAAATAATACACTAGAGTATTATTTGTTCTCAGACAAGAAGCTTTCATATGGTCCCTTCTTATATGGGTTTTTCATTCAAAGGAAGATACACAGCAACAAGAGTTTTTGACATACACAAGTCTTGCCTAAGTACAAGTTGTTCCTCAAGTGCCATCACATCGAGCTGGCTGAACAGTCCTCAGGAATCAAATTGAAGTATTTCTGGTTTAGCTTATGACCATGAAATCCCCCTCTGCATGGCTGAGGAATTTTTCACTGAAGGCCAGACTGGCTCCATGCAAAAAGTTTTTATTAATTCTCCAAGCTGGAGATAGCCCTCAAGAAATAACGTCCCTATTTCACAGCTCTTCAAGATATTAAAAATTTCTCTAAGAGAGGATGCACTGCTATTAGGAGACCAACTGCTAACCTGCAGAGGGGAAAAAAAGCCACATCAGTGTGAGATGGCTGGCTTTGAAGATGGTCAAGGAGCATTTGCAGATAAAGTCAGACTTTGAGAAGAAGACACGGGCAGAACGATTAGCTCCCTGCTTCAGCCAGCACAAGTTGCAGACCTGTGACTTGTCTGCAAGTGACTTGCTGCACCAATGTGGAATATGCAAGGAAAGCAACACCAAACACAGACCCAGACTGCACCTAACATCACCAGCACCTACCTAAAAATCACACTTTAATATCAAGGGATATTAAAGAAGCCAGAAGCCACATATAAAAGTATAAACCTGGGTTCCAGTTACAGTTTATCACTGTCCTGTTTCAGAAGTTTGTTAGAAATAATTAGAACAAGGTACGATTTTGGTGATCTTAAAGCCATTGCACGAGCCTTTAAGGAGCCAGATGTTTCTTCTGCAGGAACCGTTTTCTACAGCGTGGTATTTCCGTGCTAATAATGAACACAAAGCGGGTGGGAAGAAGGGAGAGACGCAGCAGGATGGAGAGCTTCGTTCAGCTACGGGGCCCTGCACGGCCGCCACGTGCCGGCTGCAGCAGGTACCTGCTCCCCGTCTGCCCGCTCCTTGGCCACCACCGCGCAGTCACTGGGCTTCGCCGTGAGGCCTCCGGCCTTGCAGTCCCTCTACGTGGCCATAAGTGATGTTTCCCAGGTTGCTGTGTAGTCCTTTAACTACCCTCAAACCCTGACTCAGACTCCAGTCTCTCCTATTATACAGCACAAGTACAGGCATCCCTAAGCAGGAAAGTCCTCACAGTCAGTCAGTCACGCAAACTCTAATCAAACCATGGGCCTTGTAAATTTGACTAAGGAGCACAAAGAATCTATAGGCAATAGCTTAAAAAAATATTCCTCCCCCACTCTGAGTTCAAAGGAAGCAGGTCTAACGGTACCAGTTGGTTACTTCCACTTTTCAATAGTTTCTCAATAGATTTTTGTCTATTGCTACAGCTGTAGGCTTTCTGAACTTTAACACTTCTAATTGTAGTACTCTGAAGTAAGTTGGGACTGCTTGACACTACTCACCCTAGGATCATCGCTGCAGTCTTTAGTATTGTATCAAGATTTATTTTAGGAGGTTGGACAAAACATCAATGTTTGCAAAAGATGGTCACTTCCTCTTAACTAACAGAAAAGAGGAACATTAGTACATCATTTGAGATATTAAGAGGCTACAACATAGGTAGGACATATCCAGACATGAAGCATCAGTGTGAAGATTATGGGAAACTGCACTGCTGTTCACAGGGACCGTTCATGCAAAAAGCAAGGCTTTCTCTACAGCTCCAGCAACAACACCCCATAAGAACATCTTAAGCCTCCCCACTTCACACTGTAAAAATCAGCGCATCAATTAATAAAGTACCTAGGAAGAATTTCAGTAATAGGGTGGATGAGAGCCTCAGAAGGGCCTGAACAGAACAAAATAGTTTTTTCCTGGTCTATCAGCCACTGAAGCTAATAGTGCAGCAGCAGAAATAATAATAATAAATAATATTTGCACTGTGCAGTAATGGTAATACAAATGCTAAAACCTCATCATTAGCAGCTGCATTGAATTTTCTCATTTGCTAAACATAAGCAGGTCTTTGCATCTCAAGTCCATGCTGTGGCAGGATAATAAACACTGCATCATGTGCCGGGCAAAACAGGGCTATTTTATGTGTATTTATTTAGATTAGTGAAAGACAAATACCATAATTGAAGTATCCACTTGCTTCACAAAGGCCATAGACTGTACTCACAATGCAACTAAGTAATCACAACATAATTTAGTATTTTTCTCAAGTTGTATATGATTTTTTTAAATTCCCAGAATTCAGTTCACATATCACACTCAGACAATTTTTCCTCAGGCTGAAACTGAGAAATATCCAATCTTACATGGTATTTGAATTCTTTAAGATTTGAGAAGAGGCACAGAAATGTCTTAATGACAACTCTGACCACCATAGCAATTCCTTGGTCGTCCCCCCAGCTTTTTCTTTCCTATTAAAAAAGGAGGAAGCAAAGTCTGATGTTGATTCCATTCTGCATCCTTAGAAAAAGATTAGCTAGAATACAGTGAACTGTTTTTTTTCCACAGAGCATGCTGAAATGGCTGATTAACACAGCAAATCAGCAAGTTTGTTTGCAAAAGAAATTGTAATAACTGAAATATGCAAGTGAGATCTATTAGGGAGGGAGTTATGGAAGAACAGTGGTTTCTCATATTATTAGTTCTCCCTATAATTACATGAGAAAGCTCACTTGCATAGAAAAAATATCAGGCAATTGCTGAAGCATTTACTTCTTATTCTCTAACACTGAATAATGCTTACAGAGCTTAATATGGGGAATCAGTAGTCTTGTAACGAGGTTAAGCTACGTATACAGTTCTAGTGCTGAAGTATAAATCTGACTGGAAACTTAACTTCATCCGCCTGTATTTACTTCTTATGAAGAAGCAGTTATACGCACATCAGGACTGAGACAAATCTCTAAGGTAAATTTCATTTCAGAACTAGGTCTTTCCTTTATTAGGTACTAATCTGTTTGCAGGATACAGGCACTGTAGACAGAGCTTATTCTTGCATAGCTCTTCTTCCATTTTGCACAACACTTCCCCAAAAGCCGCAGCGGTCGCTTGCTCTCTCTGGAAGCAGCATCTCCTGTTGGGTTGCTGCAGGACCTCATTCCCTCTGCCCCACCTTTCTGACACATCCCCACAGCTAATCAGCCTAATGCAGATGCCCAGACATCCTTGTGCCCACGGTCCCCACTGAAACGGCAGATTAAATTACTCGGTGTCTGGTAGAGACACACACACAGGTGTGGGTGATGTCATCAGAGTCAGCCCGTTGGAAAAATTTATTTTCTCCCTTTTCCCTGGGATTTATTAGGCTTTTCTGGCTTTGTTGCTTGTGAAGAGATAGATGTTGACCTGGTCTGGTAACAGATCTCTGAGATTCCAGCAGCCAGGTGTGGAGTCAATCCCTTTGCATAGGTTTAAATTATTGCTGTAACAAAATCAGGTCCAAAATGAAGCAACTTAAGTGCATTTGATTAATCCTTTTACTCTGGACAGCCACTAGATACTCTGTATTTTTTCAAAACCATTCTCTAAGCCAAGTGGCGCCTGAGCACATAAGAAGGGAATCTTATTTTTCCAAGTCATATAGAACAACAAAATTTTGATTTATTGCTTGCTGACAATACCATATGCTGCAAATATTACTTTGAAGATAATGATGCATTGTTTAACTCCAATGTTCAGGTGGTGTGATACTGCAGTTCCTTGGAACTGTTTCACAGTACAAAAGTTTGTCATCATAACACCATATTTCATATTTT